CGGGAAACAGTAGCTGTTCTACAAGGTGAGGAGGTAATGAGTGTTAAAAACAAATAAAAAGGTAAAAATCATTCTTCAGATAACAATGATATTTATTTCATTTCTTATAGATTCTACAATTATACTGTTTATCTATTTTAATCTCAGCATTCTGTTACAACTCCTTACTGCAAAATGTCACTGTGAACCAATGTGTAATTATCACAGGACAGTACTGTTGCCATACCTGTTACTCCTATCAGGCACTGATATCAGAGGCGAAAATATTTATTTCAGTAAAAACTAGTGACAAATCCCTGAAACCATTTCAATGTAAAAAGAATAACAAGTTACTGTTATTGGGAGTCAACCATCTCAGGCTAGAAAAATAGTCTACTCTCAGTTATACTAACAATGAAGCAAAGGCCTGAGCAACAAGACTAAAATAACTTGACTCTCAATGTGAGTGTTTCATTGGGTTTTGTTTAGTAGCTATATTCAAACAAAGACAGCCATTACTTTAGATATTTATGTTAAATAAGGCTATACTGTGAAGGTCTTATTCAGAGTCTAAAAAACTACCTTTCTCTCTTGTAATCTCTCTTCAACATATTCCTACTCCCCTCTTTATGCAAAATCTTCTCCACAATTTCCTATAGCAAAAGATAATGTTCCAGCATTTGTGTTTGTAAGCTCCACCATACTGAGGTGAAAAATGTAATGGCTATTAAGGTGGTAGTATGTGTCAAAAAAGAGAATCTAGTGAAACCATGTGAAAATGAAAGAAATGTCTGCCATAAAGATACTTTTGTGGGGTGGGGGGCTACCAGGAATTGAATTCAGGACTTTGAGCTTGCCAAGCAAGGCACTGTGCTGCTGAGCTATATCCCCAGCCACAAAGATACTTCATATCAGTCAGTGTATTCATGAACACATGAGGTCTTACCTACAGCTTATGAATTCAACATAATGGAGTTCCATTTCAATTAGATTGGATTACATTAACTAATCTACCTAATTCAAATTTAGTAGCTTCAAAAAAGGCACAATGGTTCTCAGTACAATGGGACCTCGGTTCAGGAACGCTTTTGTTTGCAAACAATGTGGTTCACAAATAGAAGCATTTGGCAAAATTGTGCTTGTTTGCAAACCCTGCAATGAGCGACAACCCTGCAATAGGTGGAAAACATGACCATGGGCATTTTTCCCACACAAACACAAATGTGGCCATCTTTTCCAAAGTTGTAGAACAAATGAAGTTCATGAAGGAAGGCACCACTGTACTTGATTAACTTGCTACATTCACAGATTTTCAAGGTGACCAATTTTATTCTTATATGTATGTTACAAAAATGTCATCACCAGTCAAAAAATTATCATTTTGGAATTACATTTTAAATGCACTCATTTAATGTGTCAACCTTTGGTTGGTCTTGCCAGACTACTCAAGAATTCCCCTCTACTGGAGCACACACCAGAACTGCTTTTCTAACTATGCTGTACGAGCCCTGCAGGTTTCTCCACCAGGTGAATGGCACATCCGAGCCTCACTAACCTGCACCTAGGACTAGACTACATAGGAAACAAGTACTTCCTGAATGAACCTACTTTAAATGTTCTTTATCATCTGTATAATGTAAACTACTTTTTAAAAATCCCTACTTTGAAACCAAATCTTCCATTTATGCCCATTTGCAGTGCAAATGAACTCTAAAACACCAAAAAGAAACCCTGTATTGCTTGTGTATTTTCCTCCTATTCAACAATTCTAAAAATCATCCCATGTTTTTGATTTTTTAGGGGGTTTTTGTTGTTTTGTTAATTGGTTTTTCTGAGATATGGTTTCTCTAGGTTAAGCTCCAGCTAGGAGCAATCCTTCTCCCTCAATCTCCCAAGTCCTGTGATTATAAATGCGTGCTACCATGCCCAACTTTTTTTTTAAGCAGGCTCCTGCAATACAGTCTAGTTATAGTATAAGTAATAGGTAACAGAATGTCTCTCAAAGTCACAGTCAGTGTTAAGACTCTCAGTTCTAACTCAGAAAACTTTGATGTTCTCAAATGAGTTTAAATTGAGAACTCATAAACTAGATATTTCTTTGTCCTACCAGGCCATAGGTAGCAAGCTTTTGATGCATTTACTGCTAACATCTGAGAAGGATGACTTTGCATAAAGTAAAGCAGATAACTCCCTTATAAACTGAGCTATAATCAACCCATTGTATTTGGATGAAATTTTAAAAAACCGAATAGAGTAAAGAACTGGGCAGTTTTAGAAGATTTGCATTTCAATCATGATCTACTCCTGTTAGGAATATAGACCATACATTATTGGTATCCAACAGCAAGAGGCAGGATTAATGGTAAGAAAGGTAAGTCAGCCATCCTTGCAATTAAGCCACATTTTTAAGGAGCATTCTTACATTAAAATGATCATAGCAAAGGGGGATTTTTCTCTGCAATACAACAAAATGCAGAATGGCAATATATTCAGTGTGTCTAAACTGAAATTGAAGACAGCTTTGGATTAAAGGTAGGTAGGTAGACCAGAGGCTAGACTGTGTATCAAACACTTATTAAAACATATTTGGATGGGAAAATTCAATATGGAATTGATGAAAAAATATACATGTGGGATAACAACTATAAACACAAAGAACATCAGAAAAATTTTAGTTTAACAAAATTGTCAAACTAGAACAGAATAATACAAGCCCCACATGTTTTGCCTACATACTCTGCCAAGTCTTAATGATAAGTATATGTGATACCTGCAAACTGAGCTAGCCTCCTTAATATGAAACATAGTAAAAATAGCTCTGTTCATTAAGTCAATTAAAAGTTTATAACTATGATATGTAAATCAGGAAAATATAGACCATATTAATTTCTTTATCAATTCAAAACAGAAGTGGTGAGAAAAAGAACTTACTGCAACAATCATAATTGCATTATCCAAAAAGCCAAACCCTACGAAAGGTATCGCATTGTGGATGAATACTGAAAAACACCAAGAAGAGAAAAATATATTTTAAAACTTCCATAACTTTAGAATGACAAAAACAGATCATATAATGAAAGTCTCCCAAACTGACTTGATAATCTTTAGAATTTGCTTTTCAATAGCTCCTGATACTGCTATAAGTTTCATTACTTGATAGAAGTTACACTGGAGAAAACAAAAATGTGTAATATGTAAAAATAACCATGTTAGGCTTTTGTATGTAATCTATAAAATTGCCAAGGTATAGTCAATTTCAAATTAACTGAGGATTTTTAGATAAACATCAAAACTCTTGAGTTTTATACTATATATATAAAAAAAAAACAGTTCCCTTAAGCCAACCAGCTATATATGTTAAGTGACTTTGGAGGGTTTTTTTCTTTCTTTCGATGGAGTTAAGTCCACAGAAAATATAATTAAGATGCCCAAAAGTTATGAAAGTTTGATAGTATTATAGTGACTTCTATACCAATCAATGAAAGCTAATAAGCAGTAAAACAAACAAAAACCACTTCTACCCACAACCACTATCAAAAACTAAAATCAATGGGAAATTAAAAATACAGTACTATTATATATAATATAATCATAGTTATATAATACTAGATGGTAGTACATAATAGGTATATAATGTCTTCTTGTTATTAAGTAAAAATACCCAAGATCAAGAATAAAATATTTAATTATGAAGATTAAAAACCTATTAACATGATAAAAATCAAATAGCACATTAATGAAATGGGATTCAAAGATTTTGACTTTAAAATTCTTTTACTTTTTGCCTAAGTCTAGGTACTTACCGGATAAAATATTCACAGTTTTACAATAAGTAGCTTCTAAAACATATACACAATCCCAATTTCCAAAAACATAAATTTAATAGGTCAAAGTATATAATAACATTTTCTAAATGCACTAAAAAGATACGTATACTATAGAGAAAGCTACTTAAGTATATCCAGAAATCTTTTCCACGAGTCTTTGAAACATAAAAATGGCAAACTACTAATGAAACCAGTTCGGATTACCTAGCCTATTGGAGTTAACTAAATAGCATCTCTGAAATTGACCTGTTACAAATATCTTAGAACTTGGGTGTTAAGAACATTAAATTAATATTATACTAATTACTACTATTCTGGTAAAAAGTTGGTCAGTAAAACTGAGGCACATTGCTACAATAGCCACTTTGAACTACACATATATTTTCATGTTTACACCTAAATAAATGAGTATTACAAATAGAAATTTATTTTTAACCCAAAGGAAAAAATGTGATTTCTTTTTAAAAAAATGTATTGGGTGCTACCCTGGGAACCTGAGATACAAGACTTGATTCCCAGCCCTTAAAGGATTTTAGGTATGATAACATATGCACATAAATGGTTAATTTCAATATCACCTACATAAAAATGATAACAGCATCATATGGTGTATCAATTATGAATCTAGGGAGAGAACCAGCAATGATTACTTGGGAAGAGAAGTCTTAAAGAACTCTTAAATTGTTTTGGTATTTGAGGAATGTTACCAACTTCTAATATAAATTATATTCTACTGTGAGAGAAAAAAGAATCAGCAATTAAATAGTTTTTTCTAATTATATAAAGTTACTATATAATGATCTTCTAATTTGTGATTTCTTCAATTTCCTTTGGAAAACACTATTCTACAATTCATCAGTTACTAGTAAATCACATTTAATATTTTGCTTTAATTTACAACCTACTCAAATTCATTACATAATTCTCTTCTTCCATTATCTTTATAATAAGATCCTAAACTGTTTTACATTAGTCTTGTAATATTTATTCCTATCAAAAAGAAAGAACACCTGTAGCATTATAATAGGATTTTTCTTCTTGGTGGTTTTAAGTGAACTTTACTTTTCTTTACTATTAAAAACATTTACGAGGAAGCATTTTCCACATCAGAAAATAATCTACCCAGCCAGGAGCCTAGAGACTAATTCTGTAGTTACCTGACTTAAATTCAAAAACATCCTTTCTCCTGTGAAGTAAATACATACTAAAAATTTTTCTTGGGAATTAAGAACACTCCTATAATATGTTTAATTATCTTTCTTCCTAGGTGGTAAAGATATTTTAATGATATTAGACATTTCTGAAGAATATCAGATATCCCATAATATTGTGATATCTTAAAATAAGTTTATAAAAAAACTACTTCTACATAATAAATAGGATAATCCACTCATCTGGAAAGATTTAGTTTTACTGATTCTTCTGTGCTCTCAGTAAATGATACAGTTATTTCAAATCTAAAATACAGATGCACAAATATTTAACAATTATACAGCCATTACCATATCTCAGCTGTCCTGGGGTGGGTGGTTGAGCTTCCAATTTTTCTAAAGGGGAAAAAAGAGTGTGGGCCAAGAATTAGTTACAGTAGCATGATCTTTTTATTACAATGACAAAAGTACCAATTGACTTACAAAATGGGAGAAATCAGAGTTTATTCATAAATTATATTTAGGTTAATGGACCAAAGTTACCCATTTACAAGAATATTGATCAGTATGGATTAGATGACAAGCTGAGCTTTGTTACAACCCTATGATGGACATGGGTAAACCACATGTCTTCTGTTTTTAAGTTTTTGCATTTATATGAGACTATTTACATTATAGTAGAAAAACATTCAGAAATACAGCTACTATTTTTTTTAAATGGTAGGACGTCAAAATACATACAAATATTGACAGTGGACAAAGAATACTCAAAGAGAACTACATATTGTAAAAGTGGAAAATAGTATTTTCAAAGCAATATAGCTGCAATGATGAATTTACAGGGTCATGCAATGCTGTTTAATTAATTCCATTTGATAACATATTGAATATTTTTATTTTTGATACTTATATGGCTGGATAATATTCTAAACAATATAACAACCAAAAAGTAGTGTTATTCAAAATCACCAATAATATATTATTTATATGTCATAAATACAGTTTTCCCAAATATTAAAGTTATCTTTAAGTGCTATTATTACATGAAGAACTGACAATTATTACAAAAAGCAGTCTACCTAGTCTCATAACAAGAACCACCTCACCATTTTAAGTTTAAAAGGTAGAAAGTTCTCCCTTCTCTATCCTCACCCAATCCAATATAACTAATTGATAACATACAGATAAGAACCTATACCATGGATCACTCTCCTCTTATGATTTTGTACAACCAGACTGTCCAAGGAAACACATTACAAAACTGGACATACATTTCTAAAATATTTATTTATATATAACTTATGGCAATATAAAAACTGAACAATTAAGTTTAAAAAACCAAACAAATCTCCACTGATAATCCCTATATAAAAGAAATGTGGTCTATATTTGTGACTGGAATTTTACTAAGATAACAAATAGTCTTATAATAGCATTATAATAAGAAATGTAAAGATAATGAAAAACATTAAGAAAAAAATATGAAGGAAAGGAGCAAGGGCCAGGAGAAAAACCACTGGCAGAGACAAAGGTTAAATCAACACTGCTTCACACAGAAGGTAAGGCGTTCAAGAGGAATGATCAGAGGAACATTTCCTAGAAATAGACATTTTATTGGAAAGGACCCACCAAAAATTTTTTAAATGATAAACTGATCATTTTGAGGCCTCTCATTAAAAATAATCTTTATCATATTAACTGAATCAAAAGAAAACACATCAGGAACTTTTTTAAATTGGCAGTCGAATATACCATATGAGCAAACTTGAAAATAAGCCCAAGCAATCTACACAGGTTTTAAAATACGATTGCTGCTAACACAATCTGTTTGAAAAGTTACCATGAACTACAGAAGTTTTATTTCCCCGCACATGTATCTTGATATTGAGTGTTCTTTTGCATTTGGTAAATTAATCACAATTACATTAGAAATGTTTTACCGTAATGTTTTATTAAGTAGAGAGTTAGATAAACCAATTCTTTCTCTTAATCACTCTGCGTATATGTATTTTATATCATACTTCCTTTCTCTCCTGGATATTTTTTTTAATAAAGAGATAACCAATAAGATTGTCTATACCTGCTAACATTTTTTACCTCAAAAAATTCTGATTCTTCTTCAAATAATGGCTAAGAAACCTCTTATCAATTCTCCTGCACAGAATGACAATATATAAAACACAATTAACAACTTCCTAAAGGTAATGCAAAATGACTAAAGCAAGTTGATTCTGAAGGGAATAAACACTTAAAAGAAATGGCACTAAGTGAGCTAGTTACCAGTTTGTTACAACTTTTAGCATGACAGCAGGCCCCAACCACAACACACAGAGCAACTAAAACTCTGACAAAAATTACTCAGTCTACATAAAAAACCAGAAAACAGGATGTCAGGTAACCAAAACCACTGGAAAGCAAGGTTAGAATCCTAGAAAGCAGAGACCTAAATTGTGTTTACACTCAGTTCAGATTCCTGCCTGGCTTGTGAACCAGACATGTGTAAGGAGAACTCTGAAGAGGCCAGCTAAGGGTAAAAATGAAGATCTGAGCCACTGCCCAATAGACAGTTTGCAGTTTTAGCCCAACCACTGCCTGACAAACAAAAATCAGAATAATAATTTTTTTTTAAATATAGACTCTCAACAATGCAATAATCACAGCAATGACTAGGAAAAGCACAATCAAAAAATACTTAACAAAGAAAGAATGTGACCCACTTTCAGGAGGAAAGACAGCAGATGAAGACCAATCCTCAAGTGATCCAAACTGAAAATGAGCAAACGCTTTAAAGCAGCAGTTAAAACTATACATAAATACGTAAACAAAAATATGTTCACATAAATGATATGACAGGAAATCTCAACAGAGAATCTATAAAAAAGAACCCATAAAAAGTTTTAAAACTGCAAAGTTCACTATCTGCTGTTATAAAATTCAGGTATACTTAAAATGAGAAAAGTTTTAATAAATTATAGCTAAAAATTCCCAAATTTGATGGAGAAAAATTTCAAAGGATTCAAAAAGTTTACTGAATGCTTAGCAGGATAAATGTAGAGAAAACTGATGATGAATGATATTGAACTTAATGAGGAAAAAAGAGCAAATTAATTACAGGAAAACAATTACTTGAGTTCAAAAAAACCAGAAAATGCAAAATAAATTATTTAGTCTTAACGGAAATACCAGTTGGGAAGTAAGGTCTACAGAAAGAAATTAAGAGCAATGGAAATGGTAAGCATCTAGTTTAATACAAAAAGACCATTTTCTCCCTAATAATATAAACAAATGTGATAGTCTAAAGCAAGTTGTGATAATAACATAAAGTTTATAACTTCTGTAGATGTAATACACAGATAATGGAAGCTAGTCAGGCATGGTGACACACATCTATAGCACTCAGGAGGCTGAGGCAGAAGTTCAGCACTCAGGAGGCTGAGGCAGTTCAAAATCAGACCAGGATACAGAATGAGTTCAAGGCCAGCCTACAATACACAGTAAGATCTGGTCTCAAAAAAAAAAAAAAAAGTGAAAGCAGTGGAAAAGAGGCTAATTAAATGATTTGGTAATAATATTTCTTTAGTGTATATGAAATGATATAATAATAGCTACAAATAGTCCTCAAAAATTTAAGAATGCATATTGTAATACCTAGAGTAACCACACATCCAGAGAAAATGCAATAAGTAACCTGAAGAAGTACTCTTTTATTAATTTTGTTAATCTTTTCAAAGAACCAACTTTGCCTGTTCCTCATACTATGGCTGGATATAGGTTTACACTACGTTATTCTTTGGCTTCTCCATGTCTTTTCTTGCATCCTTTTAGCTGAACTGAGAAATTCTTAAAATTCTTCATTGAACTGGGATGAAGTTTAGTTGGTACAGTACTTGCCCACCATGTTTGAAGCCCAAGATTCAACCCCCAGCATTAAAAAGAAGAAGAAAAAGAAGAGTGTTATCTAACAAAATTGAATTTTTTACTAAGAACACAAGCATGTGCACATGCGCACATACTCCAAGCCCAGATGGTTTCACTGGTGGATTTTATTAAGACATTTAAAAAACAAAAAAAAACAATTTTACACACACTCAAAGCTCTCCCAAAAATATAGAAGTTGAGGAAATACTTCCCATATTATTTTTAAAGGGCAGAATAATATTAAAAGCAAAGCCTAAGCAAAAAACTACCAAACAAAAACCCCTGCAGAATAATATCCTTCACGAACACAGCACAGAAATCCTTAACTGAAGGATAACTGTTCTGTTCATGTTTTAAAGTCTTTCTTGGAAGGTAAATAACACAGTTACTGCAAACAGCCAACTTACGTTATATCAAATAAAATAAAATTTGAAATAAGACTATTTCTTCACCTGTTCCTGACAATTTAAATATATTCAGTTATAATACATGGATGATATTTTCCTAATACAAAATACTCTGGATATTCATGGCAAATTCTGAAAACCTGAGAAAAATGTTTTGAACTTTTAAATACAAGATTTTTCAAATTCACAACATATTTCACTGCAGCAATCCAGAAATATTAGAGATTTATTTAAGATATTTAAAGCAATTTTTAAGATACTTAAGATATTTAAAGCAATTTTTATTAAATGAAACTAATTTCTTGAAATCTACAAAGAATGAGGTATTCTGCTTAGTTTTCTAATAGTTAAAGCAACTAGAATGCTGTTGTGGCTTGTAAAATACTGTTACTACCTACATAAAGCAATATTAAATGTCAAAAAAGAATATTTCTAGGCCGGGTGTGGTGGTATACGTCTGTAGTCCCAGCACTCTGGAGGCTGAGGCAGGAGGATCATTGTGAGTTGGAGACAATCCTGGGCTACACAGTGAGCTCAAGGCCAGCCTCAACTGCATAGTGAGACCCTGTCTCAAAACGACAAAAAAAAAAAAAAATTCTTTGAGAATCCAGGCATTCCAGTGCATTTAAATAATCATTTTAAGGCTTTATTACTTATTTAGGAGATATAAAACTGAGGGGCACTGTCATATTAAAGAAAATCAGAGGGTCATAGTAGAAATATTAAGTTTCTCCTCCTATTTCAGGAATAAAAATATATTTAGGCCAACAATTCTTTTATATTTTATTACATACATATAAGTACAAATGAAGTTTTATGCTGTAGTCACTAAAAGAAAAGGGAAAATTAGGAACAGAAGGACAAAGGGTAGAAATGAGAAACACAAGAGTAAGGGAAAGAAGATGAGGCGCAAATGACGTGATTTCATAGAAAAGAGATTAACCACAGATTTTATCTCTTTTGAAGTGAAGTTTCTGAAAAGAAAGCCCCGCAGGTCGCACACAAAAGGGTCTCAGATTGATATAGGAGGTAGAGTATGGCAAAGCTGGCTGGGAAAATGAGCGGGACCTG